AGACTTTTAAGAGCTTTAAGACTCCTACTGTCCTCTTGACATATAATGCTTTCTTGTCAGATATTCAAGAGATAGTGTGGATTCTAATCAAGACAAACACTTCACACAATTGGCCTTAGTTATTCTTTGTTTTATCCAAAACATCACAGCTTACCAATTTCAAATGTACAAGAGTAGAAAACTTTTACTCTTACATTTGATAAGTGTTTTAAACCTTCTTTAAGACATGCCACTCAAGTTACAATCTTAGAGTATGACTCTAAGATTTGTTTTGGAACGAAGTATGAGTCATCTTCCTGATTGAACCATTTCAACAATTCATAGCTCCTCTTCTTAGCTACCAGAAAGCACTTAGAGGATGAATTGTGATAAGGTCTCTAAATCATTAAGATGATCATATAACACGATACTAAAGTACTCTCCCATCTTTTCAGATTTGAGAAACTTTAATCCTTCTGCCTAATTTGATTCTTCTTATTCGCTCTGCCATACATTGGAATCCTTTCCAATGTCTCAGAATTACACTTAAGCTTGTAAGTATAACCATATTTACTGAGCTATAGTAAATTATGACAAATAGTCTTAATGATCTTTTGTGGTGGACTTGACCAGTGCACAGTAATGTGTACTAGATCCCTTAGTCCTTCACTTGACTCACACATCCATGTGAACAAGTAGTTAGTCTTAATTTTTCTAATGCTTGAAAGTTCTCATCCATCTTGCTATACAACTTGCATGATTCCAAGTTTTTGTCCATCTGAAACTTGGGTGATGAGTATCTTTCCTTATTTGGTAAATTTAGACACTACCAAAAATGAAAGAATCAAATTCATTTTCCAATATTGCTATCAGTGGAATCTTATAAGCAACAACTTTTCACAAATGCCATTGTTAGGATACTTAAAATAAAATCAAAACCCTTTTCTTTTATTTTAAAATTTTGCTGAAAAACTTATCCTTACAATCCATATGAAAACCTTGTTGTTATCTATGCCTAAGCCATATAAATATCATAACTCTTAAGTAATAGCCCAAAATTCTGATCACTGAATCATGTGATTGAAATCCATCTCCGCGATCAGAATTAGCATTTACTTAAAACAGTTAGACAATGGATTTTACCTGAAGTAGAGCCAAACTTATTGACTTTAATATCCATAGGTAGAGATGCACACAAAAACCGGTTTCACTATTCAAAACCGGATCCAATCCGAAACCGGATTGGGTCAAAACCGGTTTTGACCAAACCGGATCGGATCGGATTTAAAACCGGATTTTCAATCGGATCCTAATCCTATATTCCAAATCGGATTTGATACCGGATCGTAAACCGGATTCGCTAAAAACCGGATCCAAATCCGCCCCAAAATCCAATTAAAACCCACTAAAATCGGTTTAAACCGGTTTCAAATCGGATTAGAATCGGATTCGGATTTTGGTTAGAACCGGATCGGATTTTGACCGGATTCGGATCAGATTTTGACTGGATCGGATTTTTGATGACATAAGCGAAACCGGATCGGATTCGGATCCGGATCGGATCGGATCGGATTCGGGTTTTGTGCATCTCTACTCTTACCATAGGTAAATTTGGCAACTTCGCAACCAATGCCCCTTCCTATGGACCCTTGATAATGGGACTATCTCAGACTTAGCCTCTCTCTTTACCATTTGGTCAACCGAGTTGACTATGGCCGATCCCTTTCCACTGGGAAGAGTGAGCTTTACTAGATATCCAATGTCATCATTGTTAATGTCCATAAAGTTTTAGGAAGTTGATCTTAGCAAGTGGATAAGATCATTAAGGGTCTTGTCTTAGTCTGTTTCATAGGAGTCTTTTTGGGTGTCAAACCAACAAATGATGGGATAAAATAATATTAATATAACTCAAATCACTGCTATTTCTAATACTAAAGATAGTATAGAGTAAGCAGGGTCGGTCCACAGAGATACGGGACTTTTCATCTTACCATATTTTCACACATAATACAAGTAATATTGAAATGGGGGTTTGTATTTAAACTTGAATTAAACTTCATAAATAAGAAAGATTGAAAACAAACGCAGTAAAAGAAGTACATTTCCGATTCTGACTCTTATATATGCATTATGTTGAAAGATGTAATATGATTATAACTCATGTTCAATCTAGGTTAGTAAGTTGGATATTAATAAACTCTAATATCCAAATTGGCAAAAGTATTCTATTCAAAATAAGCTCTTTAAATAAAATTTCATTTATTTGATTCAACCCAAATAAGCTCTTGCATTAAATCATTAAATGACATTAAGTTCTTGCACTAATTACCAACAATGTTTAACATTCCTCTTAAGCTTGGGAATATAAACATTTAATCTTTGATTGCACTAATTTTGATCTAATTACAACCAAGTAAGTGAGTGTTACTAACATCAAATCATAAAACATATACGAATTTCATGATTTGATTAACTAGATTGAATAGAACCCTAGTTCATTGATCAAGTGAAAAAGAGAACTAATCAAACACATGATTAAGATCAAATCAAAGATTACTAGATGTTAAACATAAGTCAAATTCAAGTTACAATCTAACAACACATACTTAAGAATTCAGATTCGGAAATGATAATAAAATCAACCACACATATCTAGGTTGGACTACAAATCAAACAAGTTTAAACTTCAAATTGACTTACAAAAAGAAATTAAAGTGTTTTCCAAGTGTTAATCTACTTGCAAAAGCTCTGAAAATCGTCTCTTCTCCTCCCAAAATCCGACCTAACCTCCATAAAAACTGATTGTCTGAATTATAAGAAGACAAAACCACTTTAAAACTGCCGAGACGTTTACACGGCCCGTGTAAACCAAAGGGTTCCATTTACACGGCCGTGTAAACAAGAAAAGTAGAATGCTTAAGTCTTCCAGGTCTTCGAAGTAGAATGTCCTTGCATATACGTTTACACGGCCCGTGTAAATCAAAGGCATAAATTTACACGGCCGTGTAAACTCCTGTGAAACCAAATTCTTCATTTCTTCATTCTCTCTCTTCAAAGCTCCAAAACTTCTACAACTTTGTATCCAACTCTTGATAACTTCCTCCAACAAGATCCAACCTTCATAAGTCCCTGAAATATTCTAAAAGCGTGTGAATGGAATTGCATCATGAAAAATCCCGAAATTATACAAAATGCATGAGTCTAAACCTAAATGTAATGCACTTTTATGAACTAAAACTATAAAAAATGAATGCATGAAATGCACCTAACAAATCTCCCCAAGCTTAAACCTTTCTTGTCCTCAAGAAAGAACAAGAAGATTTAAACTAGAAAAGAAAAAAAAAAAAAATAGAATAGAAGAAAAGAAAATTAAAGTTAAACTATTTATAACTTAATGCATGAAATCAAAACAAATATGAAAAGATCCAACCCAATTACCCTGTTTTGTACCATAGTTGAGAATGTACCTGTCATGCCTCGAGTTAACTTTGCTTTAGTCTCAAAATATTAAATGATAATAGAAACAAGACTTTGGCTACTCCCTAGTACAACTCAACAGAATTAAAGATCACAACACTTATTCCTTTTCAATATTATCAAGTCAATTCTTGGAACAAATTATGGTCTTACTCTCGTGAAATTATATATGACAAAACATGCTCAACCATCTTTGTTTCATAAAATATAACAATGTTCGATTCCAGCTATTTGTTGGTCAACAACAATCTTTTTCTGAAAAATATTTTCTAAAAATTCCCTAATATTTATCTAGATTGGTTACAAACTTCAAACCACTTACACCAGTTGAAGTAATTAACATTCAGTCCAATGTCATAAATTCAAATCCAAGTCCAAGGGAATCTTTTGACAGCCATTTATTTTTCCTAAACACAACATCTAATTAAACTATAAACACAACTATGTACAAACTTTCTAATTACACATTTTTTTTTATAAATAAAGCTCATGGCTTTCTTTGAAATCCGTGTAGCAGGCTTTCAACCAACACATCCAAATCAAATGACCTTAGTGTGCTAGATTTAAAGAGATCCCTCGGGTTTACTTGCCCGAACCTCAAAGGCCACAGATTAGCTTTATTTACTATTATTAAGTTCATGACTTTCTATGGAACCCGTATAGCGAACTTTCAACCCAATCAATCCCAAACAATTTAGCTTTAGGTGATTAGGTGTAGAACACCCCTCAGAGTTTACTTGTTCGAATCCCAAAGGTCACAGATTAACTTAATAATAGTTTTTTTTTTTTTTTTAAATATAACACATATACAAATAACTAAGTTAACACATAACACTCTTATTAATTTGTTTATTTGGCCAATTTCCTTATATTTCCGTCCTTGACTTTTCTATTGTGGGACATCTCACGGTCTATTACCGTGAGGGACTTCTGGACATTTTTCGAGGGATTAAATGTTAACATGCAAAAACCCGTAAGTATAGTTGAAAGCTATGTCCTCAAGCAGGGTATATATAAAAGGGAATAAGTAGAAAGAACTTTTAAGAGCGCTGGAAGGCGGGACATTGAGATTTTGCATTCTTTTTATGAACTTTTGAATTTGACATTTTAAGTTCAATTGAGCATTACTACTCATAAGACCGGTCATATGTCCCAAAGAATCGACTCATACCTGCTGTTATGCTCCAGTGTTGACAATCTTCTCATTTTCTGTTTTGCACAAGTAGCTTCGGGAGATGTGCTCGTGTGTGATTAACTTGCTTTTAGATTTTTTTCAATAAGAAAAGCAAGCCAATTTCAAGGCACATGACTCATTTACCTGCTCAACTGTTTTGAAAAGATTCGGTTGCTTGGGATTGGATCTTTTTTTTTTTTTAATTTTCCATGCAGAAAAAAAATGAAAACGAAAATGAAATGAAAATTAATGCAATATGTACAAAACTACATGCAACCTACATGCAACGGGATAATGCAATGGATGGATACCCCTCCCCAAGCTTAAAATATAGCATCGTCCTCGATGCTTGAAGAGAGGCGCAGCCGTCCTATTGAGGACCAGGCGGAGGATATGGAGGGAACTGTGAAGGGTAATCTGTAGGATAGTAGGGAGGCCATTGGGGTTGGGATGCTGATGGCTGCTGCGACTGTGTGGGGAGCACAAGAACTCTATGGATATCACTCAGCAGATGGTGAATGTTGCGGTTGTGCTGCTCTTGAGTAGCCCATCTTTGATCTTGCTCAGCCCACCGCAACTCTTGTTGGGCCCAATGCTCTTCCTGTAAGTTACGGTAGTCCTGAAAATCAGAAGTGATTTCAGCGACACCCGTATAAATGTCCCCGATTTCCTGTTGTAGACTGGTGTAACGATGATTCAAACGCGCAAACTCGCCCATATAAAGATTATGTTCAGAAAAAGGAATAGGGCGAGAGGAACTAGAAGCACCAGCAGTAGGAGCAGGAGGAGCAGGAGGAGGAGAGGATGGAGGACTATGATCTACTGTAACACCTAAGTTGGATCTGAGTTTCCAATTAGTTGATGGAATATCATTGGCTAAATTGAGTATCTTCTTATTTCTGCTGTCTATACGTAGATACTCTTTCCCATCTACTGTCCAATGAATATCCCCAGTGGGAAGGCGGTGGAAGAGATGCATTGTTTCCATAACATCAATTGATAGACGAGTACGGCCCATGATGATGTTTGTTGGGTTATTAGGTAGATGGAGGCCAAGATGCTCTGCAATAATAGAAACCATGCCTCCACAATGTAGCTGTCCACCATTGCTCGTAGCACTTCTGAGCATTTTTTGAATAACCCAACAACCAAAATGAGGGACTTCTGCAGGCTTGTTAATCATACACCACAAGACTTCTAGCTCTTTTTTATTAGCTTTGCTAATCTCTTCTTGAGGGAATAAGAGAGAAGCAATGATCCGGTGAGCTACTTTCAAGACCGGATGGATAATGCTAGAAGCTTTGCGGTGCCGATTGATACTCATACTCACAAGAGATGTTTCTCCAAAAATTTGCGCAGTCTTGCTCAAAAACAACATTTTTTCTACCCTTAGCTGTGTATATATCCCTTCTTGCTTTAGGAGCACCAATTATATCACAAAGGATATCAGCATGAAATTGATGCGTTTGGTTGAGCAGACGGAAAGTTAGGAGATGGGTTTGATAGTCAAAGGAAATGGAAGACAAAAGTTCCAACATCGGTGTTTGGTAACTAACTGCATGAAGATTCAAAAGACCCTCCCATCCTATGTTTTTAAAAAGCTTGTGAACACCCTTGTATATGTGTAAATCTTTGAGGGCCTGGATGTCCACAAATTTTTGAGCACCCATTGTTCTTGTAACAAGATTTGCATACAAGATTTCCTGTCGATTGTTCTAAAAAATAAGACCAAATTCATAGGGGTTGTCTATGGCATGTGGGTCTTGTTCATCATGTGAAGTGCCAACTCTATGTCTTTTACCCCGGGAAGCCATAACCCAAATGAATCAACAAAATATTGCACACAATTAAGACAATTGAAGTACAAGAACTAGCAAGTTTCACCAAAAACACCCAAAAAAAATGTGTTCTATCTAAATGCACAAAGTAAGAGTTTGGAACAATTATACCAATTTGTGCTTGATAATGGTGATAAGATGATATCCAATGCTTCCCCAAGCTATCCCCAAGCTTATCCTACAAGAAATTTGAAACATTAGGTTGAGATTTGAAGTTAAAAAATTCTAGGGTTTTGTTAAAAAAAACCCAAAATCGGCCATGGGAGAAGGATATAGATGTGGAAGATAAAGAAGATGAAGAAAAGGGAGGAATTTCATACCTTGGAGCTTGATTTTTGATGCAAAATTGAGGAAGATTGAGTATTTGGAAGGGTTTTTTTCGAAAGGGGGCAGTAGGGAGAGAGGGAATCGCAGGTATTGAGTGAAGAATGAGTTAGAAAAATCGAGATTTGACCTTAAAATCGTTCAGCCCTGTTTTTGCGTTTACACGGCCCGTGTAAATCAAAGGGGAGGGTTTACACGGCCGTGTAAATCCCTGAATCATAAAAACCGTGTTCAATCGTTTACACGGCCCGTGTAAATGCAAGGCATAAGTTTACACGGCCGTGAAAACTTCTGAGAAAGCCAAAAAACTTGATTTTTTTCACTTTTTGAAATTGCAACCCGCTAAACCTCTACTGCCCGAAAAATGATTTTTAACCCTTTTTTAGCATGAAAAACAACTTGGAAGTTTGAAAACAAAGAAAATACAATGAAAATATACTAAATGACAAAAATACCCCCGGGTTGCCTCCCGGTTAGCCGCCCCTTTTTAATGTCGTTGGCTCGACTTGGACCCCAACTATTTGTCAATTTTCATACTTTGGATCCATTACTTCCTCCACCTCTTCATTCTTGACTTGAAATCCTTCATAATAAGGCTTCAAACGGTGACCATTTACCTTAAAAATCTTCCCGGTTTTCTCACTTGTGATTTCTATTGCACCATGCTCAAAAACATTAGTGACAACAAATGGTCCCACCCAACGGGACCTTAATTTACCAGGAATCAATTTAAAACGCGAATGGTAAAGTAGTACCTTTTGACCTTTGTGAAATACCTTGCGTGTAATCATCTTGTCATGGAATGCTCTAGTCTTTTCCTTATAAAGAACCTCATTCTCATACGCTTCATTGCGGATTTCTTCCAATTCTTGTATGTCCAGCTTCCTCTTCTTTCCCGATTCACTTAAATCCATGTTGAACTGCTTGACTGCCCAATATGCCCTATGTTCCAACTCAACGGGTAATCGACACGGCTTTCCATAAACAATACGATATGGCGACATTCCAATTGGAGTTTTGTATGCAGTGCGGTACGCCCACAAAGCATCATCAAGGCGTGTACTCCAATCTTTCCTTGTTGTATTCACGGTTTTCTCCAAAATGCCCTTGATTTGTCGATTGCTCACCTCAGCTTGTCCATTTGTTTGTGGGTGGTATGCTGTGGAAACTTTATGAGTGACACCATATTTCTTCAAAACACTCCCGAGTATACGATTACAAAAATGTGTACCACGATCACTGATCAAGGCCTTTGGAACACCAAATCTGGAAAAAATGTTAGCCTTCAAGAAATCTATCACAACTTTTGAATCGTTAGTACGGGTAGCCTTTGCTTCCACCCACTTGGAAACATAGTCCACAGCCAAAAGAATATAAATAAAACCCGAAGATGATGGAAAAGGTCCCATAAAATCAATGCCCCAAACATCAAAAATTTCACAAACTAATATGGGGTTTAAGGGCATTTGATTCTTTGAGCTTAAAGAGCCCATTCGTTGACATTTATCACAGCTTGAGCAAAAAACATAAGAGTCATGGAAAATACTTGGCCAGTAAAATCCACTCTCTAAAACTTTTCTTGCAGTCCTTTGAGGACCAAAATGTCCTCCACAAGCATAAGAGTGACAAAATGTTAAGATAGAAGCTACCTCATATTGATCCACACATCGTCTAATCATTTGGTCAGCACAATATTTCCACAAATATGGCTCATCCCAAACATACCTCTTGGCTTCTTTCTTGATCTTGTCTTTTTGCCATCGAGTTAAATCTGGTGGAAATTGATTTGTGACAATGTAGTTCACAATATCGGCATACCACGGGGCAACTTTTGCTGAAAACAGATTTTCATCGGGAAATGCATCATGAATGGGAGTTGAATCTTCGGGAGAAACAATCCTGCTAAGATGATCAGCTACAAGATTTGACTTTCCGCTCTTGTCTTTGATTTCAATGTCAAACTCTTGCAAGAGTAATACCCATCGAATGAGTCTAGGCTTCGAATCTTTCTTTGCAAGTAAATACCTAATAGCTGCATGATCAGAATAAACAATGACTTTAGAACCTAGCAGATATTGACGAAATTTGTCTAAAGCAAAGACAATAGATAACAATTCTTTTTCAGTTGTTGAATAATTGGCTTGTGCACTATCAAGTGTTTTTGAAGCATAATAAATGACATTAGGAACACGGTCTTTTCTTTGCCCTAACACTGCACCAACTGCGTGATTACTGGCATCACACATGATTTCAAAAGGCAAACTCCAATCCGGTGATTGAAGTATTGGTGCTGTGATCAACAACTCTTTCAACTGATCAAAAGCTTGCTTGCACTGTTTAGAAAACTCGAATTCTGCATCTTTTTGTAGGAGCTCACACATGGGACGAGATATCTTGGAAAAATCTTTAATAAACCTTCTATAAAATCCTGCATGACCAAGAAATGAGCGCACCTCACGAACACAAGTGGGATAAGGTAAAGATTTTATGACATCTATTTTTGCTTTGTCCACT